AGAAAATGAGGGAAAACATACATTTTTTTAAATGGGCAAATAACTTTAAAACTACAAATTCAACAGAATATACACTACCAAACTAAAACCCATTGCCATCAAGTTGATTCTAACTCATAGCAGCTCTGTGTATAGTTTTTGTGGCTATAAAGCTTGATAGGAGCAGACAGCCTCATCTTTCTCCTGGGTAAACATCACTAAAAACACAAAATAGTACATTATAATTAAACTTTGGGGGAGGGGTGACCTTAGAAGCATCTAGAGAGAAGGCATATTACTTACAGAGGAACAAAGACATGAGTGAAGGAAAACTCAGAAGATACACAAGCCAGTGGGATGAATATTAATGTGGGAAATGCAATGAATGAGATTTTTTAAAATGTGTACGGACTATTGATCTGCTCTATAAACCTTCACTCAATTCATGATAGAAAGTTTAAGGGGAATAAAATCTCCATGCCAATAATATTTCACTGGAGAATCCTAACAAACATGTGAAATATAATTTAAAAATTAACACCAATACTATATAATATTTTCCAGAAAATAAAAAATGAGAAAATACTTCCCAACTCACTTTAGGAGGGCAGAATTACCGTGATTAAAAAAAAAAAAAACAACAAAAAAGACGAAGGCTGTTCACGTTCTTTAAATAATAATTTTTAAAGAAAAATTGACTACCTTTCAAAAATCTGAATCCAAAATTTCTCAATAAGCTATTAACAAATGAGACCCGAAATATATAAAAAGAATTATGCAACACAGTGAAGTGAAATTTCATTCAGGGTACACAAAACTGGTTTAATATTTTAAAAGAAAAATCAAAGTAAACATAATCAACTATTACCAAAGATAAAATCACATTACCAATTGATACAGGAAAAGTATTTGACAAAATCTAACACCTATTCATGATCAAACACTCAGAAAACAAGAAGTAAAGAACTTCCTCAATTTGATAAAGAGCATCTACAAATAAACCTATAGCTAAAATTACATTTAACTGTGAAATTATACTTTACTCCTAAGATTAGGGGCAAGGAATGACTATCTATTCTCAACATTCTTATCCAACACAACACTGTTCTAGCCAGCACAACAAAGCAAGAACATAAAAGACTTATGGATTAGAAAGAGAAAAAAGCAAGGATTCAGGAGGGTAAAAGGGTGGCTGAGAGAGGGAAAAATGAGCTAATATCAAGGGCTCAAGCAGAAAGAAAATGATGGTAACATTTGCACAAATGTGATTGATACAATTGATATATGGACTGTGATAAGAGCTGTAAGAGCCCCCAATAAAATAATTCTTTTAAAAATCTATTACCAAAAAAGAGACACTAATATCATTTACAGATGATTTAATTGTCTACACAGAAAATTTCAAGTAATTTAAAAATTTTTTTTTAATCTCCTAGGACTAGTAAACTGAGTTCAGCAAGGTTGCTGAACACACACAATTTATCACTTTTTAAAATCTTTTAAGCATATCTTTCATAAACAGATTTTCCTAAACATGGAAACAAAAATAACAAGGTCTATCTGACATCAGTAATGGTATCCCTTGTTCTACATCCTCTTATGAATCAAGGCTGAGCTAGCTGTTACTTATTAATTGTAGCTCTCACAGCAACTAACTCGGTGTTGTAGAAGTCATATGAACTCATAAATAAATCACAGAATCATGTGATTTACAGCTGTAAGAATTTCTAATGCTTTAGTTACTTATATACTTAGTGGTAAAGATATACTTAGTGGTATATATACTTAGTGGTAAAGATAACATATACTTATATGGTATATATGATATACTTAGTGGTAAAGATAACACTATAGATTAGTTGGATCAAATGCCTTTATAATACTTCTGCTGAATTGAATGTCATAATGGGTTAGAATAACGATCTGTCTACTTCTCTATTCTGTCTTCATAGAAATGGCACTACGGATCTTTTATGGGACTGCTTCTATGGTAACCCCTCAGAAGAAATGTGTCTTAGATGTGCTGTGGGAGTTTTGAGTTGTAGAGTTTTGTTTTGTTTTTTTAATTTGCTTTCTAATGTGGGTACAACAATGGACTCAAACATAGCAACTATTGCCAGAATGGGCCAGGGCCAGACAGTGGCTTGTTCTGTTGTACCCAGGGTTGCTATGGGCGGGAACTGACTCAGTGGCACATAATAGTAACAACAGGGTAAGTTTACTCTTAAGTTTACTCTTGCTGCACTAGACCTTTTTAGAGTACTGCAAAGACAAGGTGCTACTGTGAGGACTAAGGTGCTCCTGACCCATGCCATGGTGTTTTCCATTGCCTCACATGCATGGGAAAGTTGGAGACAAACCCATCTGAAGTATGGCTAGAGTGCTCCTTTGTGGCAAGGACGGCAAAACTTCATCTTACATACTCTGGACATGTTGTCAGGAGAGACCAGTTCCTGGAGAGGGACGTCATATTTGTAAAGTAGAGGGTCAGTGATCAACAAGATGGACTGACCACGGTGCATGCAACAATGGGCTCAGACTTAGAAACAATCATGGGGACGGCACAGGACTGGGCAGTGTTTCATTCTGTAATCCATAAGGTCGCTATGGTGGGGCTACTGACAGGATGACACCTACTAACAACAACAGCAGGACCAATACTTGGATTTAGAATTGGGATGGGACTGAATGAAAAGTTACTTAACTAATCTTATACTTTCATGGAGCACAATGAGTCCTGGTAGTGCACTGAGTTAAGAGTTGGGCTGCTAACAGCAACAGCGGCAGTTCAAAATCACCAGAAGCTCTTTTGGAGAAAGCGGCGGCTTTCTATTTTCTTAAACAGTTACAGTTTCAGAAACCCACAGAGGCAGTTCTACTCTGTCCCTTAGAGCCACTAAGAGTTGGAATCAATTAGATAGCAGTGAGTTTGTGAATTTGGTTTTGGCTTTTGGCTCATGAGGCATAATGAAAATATCCTGGAAAAGCAAATTAAGTATGTACCTTTCAGTGCTGTAGACTTTTCTGTTTCATCTGGACCTCCCTGCTGGATTTGGGCCATGCTTATCCAAATTGGCAACAAAATTAAAGACCTCAAGGAAATAGACATCAATCTCCAGAGGACAGTCTAGAATGAATGAAAGCAATAAATTAAGCTCTACTTAAGTCCTACCTACTCCATGTGAACTTCCTAGATCCTCCCCATCAGGATTAATTTCTCTATGCTGACTTCCCACTGCGCTTTTCTCTTGCCTGTACCATAGTACTTATCACAGCCTGCCTTGTAGCTGAGTTATTTATGTATTTGTCTAGGTCAGCTATCAGATTACAAGCCCCAGGAAGAGAGGCAGCAAGTTTTGTCATCTGTGTATATTTTGTGCCACTGATAAACACAATAACTTTTACATATAGATAGATGCCTCCTGTTTGTTAAACTGAATTGAAGAAAACTTTCTATTTAGTTTTAGTTCTCTCTCTCTATCTATCTATATACACACACACACTCACAAACACACTTCAGTTAATTTTATTTGATTAATGTTTTCAAAAATAAACTGTAAGTATATGCTATCTACAAAATCAGAATGTTCACCTCCTGGAGTATGTAGTCAAAAGGAGAAAAATACAGAAGAAAAGTACCTATAGTCCTGTTTAAAATACGACTTCGAGGGTGGGGTGTGAGGGGCGTAGTTCATCCTCTCACAAATGGAAGCTATAGTCATTGCAGTGTGTGGAAATCACACGCTACAAAATTATTCCAGCACACAGTCATGCTGCTAATCATAAAGCAAATGATAACATCTTGAACTCCAAGTCTGCTCTACATTGACCAAAGGAAAGGCATTAAACCTTTAACACTAAAGTAAAGCAGTGATCCTAAAGTTAAAAAAATAAAGATAAAATTAACCTATTTAACCCAATTGACTCATATTATTGATAAAATTATATTAAAACTACAATTGTAACAACAGAAAGGGAAAATGAAAAAAAAGGATAAAATGTTTCTTTATTTGATTGAGGAACCCAAGTGATTTTCCACCAACAAAGCAAATTTCAACTACTATTCAGAGATGACCCAGCTAGCCAACTCATCAAGAACCTAGAGGTCAGGGCGGAACTGACCCTGTGAGGTCCTGAGATTTAACTCTTTATGGGCATAGAGAGCCTCACCATTTTTACCACAGAGGTTCTTGCTATCACACTGGTGACTGAGCGGTTAGCAGCCCAATGTGTGACCACGATGTAACCACTAGGAATAAGGATGAGAGAATTTTTACCAATAAACATTTTTACCTGGCCAGGAAATAGCTTTCTCTTTTGAGGATAGGAAACTCAAAACTCTGAAAATTCTTTTTTTTTTAAATCGTTTTATTAGGGGCTCATACAACTCTGATCACAATCCATACATATATCAATTGTGTAAAGCGCATTTGTACATTCATTGCCCTCATCGTTCTCAAATTGCTCTCCACCCAAGCCCCTGGCATCAGCTCCTCACTTTTTCCCCTCTCCCTCCCCACTACCCCCTCCCTCATGAACCCTTGATAATTTACAAATTATTATTTTGTCATATTTTGCACTGTCCGACATCTCCCTTTGCCCACTTTTCTGTTGTCCATCCCCCAGGGAGGAGGTTATATGTAGATCCTTGTAATCGGTTCCCCCTTTCCAATCCACCGTCCCTCCACCGTCCCAGTATTGCCACTCACACCACTGGTCCTGAAGGGATCATCCGCCCTGGATTCCCTGTGTTTCCAGTTCCTATCTGTACACCATCTGGTCTAGCCAGATTTGTAACGTAGAATTGGGATCATGATAGTTGGGGGGGGGCGGGGGGAGCATTTAGGAACTAGAGGAAAGTTGTATGTTTCATCATTGCTATATCGCACCCTAACTGGCTCGTCTCCTCCCTTTCTGTAAGGGGATGTTCAGTGGCCTACAAATGGGCTTGGGTCTCCACTGCGCACTCCCCGCCTCATCCACAATGATATTGATTTTTTGGTTCTGATGATGCCTGATACCTGATCGCTTCGACACCTCGTGATCACACAGGCTGGTGTGCTTCTTCCATATGGGTTTTGTTGCTTCTGAGCTAGATGGCCGCTTGTTTACCTTCAAGCCTTTTAGACCCCAGACGATATATCTTTTGATAGCCGGACTCTAAAAATTCTGAAAATACATCTGTGGTCCTTCAAAAAGGAGCCCTAGTAGTACAGTGGTTAAGTGCTTATTTATTAACTGAAAAGTTAGCAGTTCAAACCCACCAGCTGCCCAACAGGAGAAAAATATAGCAGTTTATTTCTGTACAGATTTACTGCTTTGGAAAACCAATAGGGCAGAGAGTTTTACTCTGTCCTACAGGGTGGTTATAAGTCAGAATCAACTCAGTGGTAGTAGGTTATAGTCCTTTAAGAAATATAACCTCAAGGGTTCACGAGGGGGTGGGGCAGGGAGGAAAAAAGAGGAGGTGATACCAAGGGTTCAAATAGAAAGTAAATGTTTAGAAAATAACGATGGCAACATATGTACCAATATGCTTGATACAATTGATGTATGGAATGTTATAACAGCTGTACAATTTCCCAATAAAGTGATTTAAAAAGAAAAAGAAAAAAAGAAATATATCTGATGGAAGGGCAGGCTGGGGACAATGTGGCACCCACAGCAAAGAGTGCAAAAAGGAAGAAAATGTCCCAACATTGATTGTGGTGATGGCTGCACAATCCTCTGTATTATGACTGAATTATTGAGTTGTATGATATGCTAATGACATCTCAATATAACTATTTTAAAAATAAATGAACTTGGATACTTCTTTTAGAAAGAACATCAGATAGATGTCCTAGTCTATACAGGAAGATGCTGGAGCCCGGTGGCATATAGTAGGGTATATATTGGGCTGCTGACAACAGGTTAGCAGTTTGAAACCACCATTTGTGGGAGAAAGATAAGGGTTTTCTTATTCCCGTAAAAAGTTTCAGTCTTAGAAACCCTCAGGGGCAGTTCTACCCTGTCCCGTAGGGTTGCTGTGAGTCAGGATCAACTAAACGACAGTGAGAGACAGCAGGCAGGCAGTGTGCGAGGCCCCATGACTACATGATGCACCCAGCTGCCATGGGCCCTGTCCTCATCAGGGCGTCCTTTCAAGTTGCGGAATCAAGCTGCCAAAATGACACACACATAATACACAAGGGGAAGTCAAAACCATTGACTGGGTTCCAGTTCCTATATACAAAGGTTTATTCCAACCAAAAAGTGTTTAAGTTTGACTCTGTGCTGATGGAATGGCTGCAGACAAGTTCTCTCAGCAATGGACATGTATGAGACTCAGTCAGGTGCCTTCAAAAAGATGTCCAGTCACTTCAGAAGGGATATACTGGGCTAGTTAAAGTCAAGGAAGAGAAAGCAGCTCAAAAGGTTAGGACTACTGCTTTGGGGGGATTCCACACAAGAAATCTAGGTAGATTTTCTCATAGGACACAGGAATGACCACAGTGGCTTATCATGAATAAGTTTTAAGAAAGCAGAAATCTGCATTGGGGAGAAAACGGTCAGGAAAGTTTTGCCATGAAATTTTAAAAATCCCAATATACCTATACATTCTTTAAGGGTAAAAAAAGAGCTACCCTTAAGAATTTTGTTGGGAAATCATACCCACATCCACCTTACAGACTGATCTTGCCCCTTCAGATTTATTTCCTTGTGTTTTGCTTTTCTTAAAATGCAAAGAACAAGGGGGGTCGGAATGGAGACCCAAGGTCCATCTGTAGACAGTTGGATGTCCCTTCACAGAAGGGTCACAAGTAAGGGATGAGGTAGTCAGGGTGCAGTTTAGCACCAACGAAACACACATTTCTCGAGTTCTTTAATGCTTCCCCCCCACACACACCCCGCCCACTATCATGACCCCAGTTCTATCTTACAAATCTGGCTAGACATCTTACAAATCTGGCTAGACATCTTACAAAGCTGGCTAGACTGTACACTGATACAGATAAGAGCTCTTGACACGCAAAATCCAGGATAGATAAACCCCTCGGGACCAACAATAAGGGTAGTGATACCATACGGGTAGGGGGAAGGTGCAGGGAGAAGGAGGAGAAGGGGGGAACCAATTGCAAGATCAACATACATCCTCTCCCCATGAGGATGAGCAACAAAAATGTAGGTGAATGGAGACTGTGGACAGTGTAAAATATGAAAATTAAAATAATGTATAAATTATCAAGGGTGCCTGAGGGAGGGGGAGAGGGAGGGAGGGGAAAGAAGAGAGCTGATACCAAGGTCTCAAGTAGAAAGAAAATGTTTTAGAAATGATGTTGACAACATAGGTACAAATGTGCTTGCTACATTGATGTGTGGATTGTTATAAGAGCTGTAAGATCCCCCAATAAAATGATTGATTGAAATCCAGAAAATATATATTTTTAGTTCCTCAAGGATTCTATCACTGCTGTTTTGGATTTGCTATAAATAAAAAAACACAGAATTCTTCGGGAAGGGTATGAAAGATGGAAACACTGCCTTCAGAAGACAGATCGAGGCTATGTTGAGAAACAATTGCTTCATAGTTTGATATTTTTGTTTAATAAAGGTTTCTCTGATCTTATAGTAATATTTTGAAGGATGATTATAATGCTATTATATAAAAGTATATAACATATAAATGCTATCATATAAAAGTATTTAAGAAATATCTATTCAGAGATTCAGGAATTGGTTTTATCTGTCAAGTCCCACAAATTTGTATACCAGCATTCCTTATTAATGAAAAGACAGGAGTCCCAAGTGGAAAAGTAAAACTACTGCCATCATGCCAAATCCAACTTCAGGGGGAGCCTATAGAGCAAAATATAACTGCCGGGGGGGTTCTAAGGCTGTAAATATTTATAATGCAGTCTGCCACATCTGTCTCCTGTAGAGTGGCTGGTGGGTTCAAACTGCTTACTTTCTGGTTAGTGAGCAAGTGCTTAGCCCTGTGCCACCAAGGATCTTTTAAAGAAGTCCCCAACTGGTGTAACTGGGTACACACTCAACTACCAGCGGACAAGGTGACAGTTCAAATCCAAGGGGAGGTGCCTCGGGAAGACAGGCCTGCCAAAGGCTTCCAAAAGGAAGCAGCCTGGA